GGGTGGCTTCTTGATAGTTGTCTATTGTTGGTGCAAGACTGTGTATAACCAGATGAATAGCTTGTTTGCCTGTGAATGATCATCAGGTCCTGGGTGGTTGACCATCTTTCCTGAATTTCATCAATAGCTGAAAGACACCAGAATTTCATCTAGTTAGGCAAACTGTTCTTCCCTCTATGAAAGAATACTCCTGTATAAACTTTCCTGCTGTGATAGCATGATTTTTTTTTCTCTTGAGGAAGATTAGCTCTGAGCTAACTGGTGCCAATCCTCTTCTTTTTTGCTGAGGAAGACTGGCCTTGAGCTAACATCCATGCCCGTCTTCCTCTACTTTATATGTGGGACGCCTACCACGGCATGACATGCCAAGCCGTGCCATGTCCGCACCCGGGATCTGAACCAGCGAACCCCGGGCCGCCGAAGTGGAACCTGCGAACTTAACTGCTGCACCACCGAGCCCGCCCCTGTGATACCATGATTTTAAGATCCACTTTCTCCTTATTGGCAGCTCTCTGAGTCTTCGTTTTTACTGAGAATACCTTTTTTCTTCTGTCTCTGAGCCGTCCGCCACACCATGGTGTTAACTGGCTGTGAAAACCATTTCTCTGCGTGTGGCCAGGGCAGACCAGGCAGATGAACCAACCGGATTTTCTTTGTCTTGACAAAGACAGTTTTGAGCTGTGAGGGTAAAACACTGGTGGCAGCTCTTTATGGGTTGGTCCTTCACTAGGGCAGGTTCTTGTGAACCTGACATAAATATGAACATTAACGCTGCATTATAAAGGGAATCCCAAATAAACATAAAGGCAATGTAAGCATTGGTGTTCCTCAAGAGAAACCTCCCCGTTTTGTACTCTTCTATCAAAGCAATAGAAGGTGAGTGGATATTTTGGCTCAGGAATGATTTCTACTGTGAACAACAGAAACTTGGACTGCAGGTTTATTTTTCCCACGTAACAAGCTGGCATTATTAGCTCAGTGGTTCAATGACATTAGAGCTAGTGTCTCTAAGATTCTCTTGGCCTTTTTTTTCCTGGTAGCAAAATGTTCTAAGTCCTGACACCACATCTGTGTTCAAGGCAGGAAGAAAAGGACAGTGCCAAACCTGTCTCTCTGTTTTATTAGGAAAGTTGAACTTTCCCCCAAAGTCCCTGCCTGACTTCCCTTGACAGTTCATTACCAGGACTGGGTCACATGGCTGCCCCCCAGTGCAAGAAGGACTGGGAAAGTGGGCAGTGGGTGGTCGTGATTGATTTACACCAATCAAAATTCATTCCCTGGGATAGGACATATTTTCACTCCAGTCAAAATTAAGGTTTTATTAGCAAGAAGGAGAAATAGATATGGTTTAGTCAGCTAACCATGTGTGCCGTATCGTTCATTTTCCCCATCATTTTTGCCATCAGGAGCCACATGGAACAGGCTGTTGGAAAGCACTTAAAAGGACCACTATTTTCCACTTTATTCTCAATGTGAGTCAGAGCACAGCAGGAACCAGGAACACCCACCTTGTAAGTGGGAAATGTTCTCATGTTGTAGTTCGTGTCTTTTCAGGGCCACTACCTCCTCCAATTCACTCCTACATGGAGACCAACAGGCCCACCTCATTCCCCAAGCTCCCTCTAAGCTTGGTTCCAAAACCTTTTGTTGGCTGCAGAGCAAACAGCAGAGCTCTTCTGCTGGTCACAGTCATGCATACCTTTTTGGGCTGATAATAGAGGGGAAAGTGGGATGTCGGTAATAGATGACTATTTCAGCCAACAGATGCTCTTTGTGTTTAAAATGAAAAGGAAAGCGAATCTCTAAGCCCTACACATTAGAGATCCAGAGATAATGCATGATGAAAGAATTTAAAGTTAGTATCACAGCTCTACCAGGAAAGAGGAGACACAGTTTTTATCACTGATGGCGTAAGTAGAGTGTCTACACATTGACTTTTTGTTTCAGCCTTATCTTATGTTAATGTTCTCTTGTTGTAGAATGTTTCCTCCTCTGGTAGCAATAGATTTGAATTACGACCTGTTGGTTTGTAGTCCTGTTTCTGGGGGGAGGTAGCAGGTAGTTGTGGGGAGGTGGGTGTAAGACAGACAGGGGATGTTGAAGATGCAGCTTGTCCACATGCTCTTCATCTTTACCAATACCACACTTGCATCAGTGCAGGCGAGGGCTGAGGTCTGCTGGGTGCTGCACAGTGCTGGCTGTTTGACACTTACACAAGCCTAAATTGACTTGGGGCTTGCATTACTTTCTAGAATGGAGGTTGGTCATGTAGTCTGTATGAAAAAAAGCCTTCTCGTGACCTAGAAAGGATTATTAATCTTGCCCCTTTCGTAGGTAATTTTCCACTCCTGGCTTTAGGGGCAACCATGATGGACTAAACCAAAGGAATTCTACGTAACAAGTCCTTTATTTTTCCATCTAGTGGATAAAGAATTTTACTGGCCTCTGATTAAAGTTTGCAATTATATTCCAAATGTCCAAAGTGGTCCCATTATTGATATTGTCCTGAGAGGGGGGTGGACAGTTTGGTTGTGCTGCTCTCTTAGAGTCAGTTGTGGGGCTGTTAGGGATTAGCCAGGAACAGTAGATGAAGCTGGAGCTGGACACACCTTCTCAGGACAGAAGCACATTCATCTAAATTGAAATCTAAGACGAGCTGTCAACCTTACTCTTGTTAGTCCCTACAAACATAGGTTCGCTATCTGCCACCTAAGAAGGGCCAAATAAAAACTGGAACGCCAGGCTTATGGCAGGGAAAGGGTTTTTATTTTGGATGACATCAGCTGGGAGATGAGAGTGAGCCCTCAAATTTGTCTTGTTTCATCTCGTCTTCCCAAAAGAGGGGCAGCAAGGGGTTTTAAAGGTTTGTGAGGAAAGTGGCTGCTTATGGGGGGCGGGGTGAGTCAGTGTCCTTGCTAGTCGGGGCTTTCCCTTCAGCCTGTATTTGGCCTTGCGACACTGCTTACTGAGAGGAGGAGGATAAGGGAATTTGCAGGTGAGCGACCTTGACTGTTTGTCTCCATGGCACATAGTGGATTCTGGAGCCAGGAAGCCAGGGAGTAAGCAGGGAAAGAGTGCTTTGGTTTTAACCCCATATATGCTGGGTTTAATGTAGGGGAACTGATATCAGGGCCAGCATCACACTCAATGACAAAGTCCCAGACCGTATACAGTTAAATTAGAAATGAGTGAAGGATTTGGAAGAATTCCTCAGGCAGGGGGTCCATTCCTGTGTTTACAAGCATAGAGGAAGTTTTCTTTCAGCATTTATGCTTTAACTAACTGGCAAAGGAGTGAAAATGCAAACTCAGGATTTTTAGTAAAGAAATTTTGATTATTCTTATGTCTTTTATACATTTAATAGAAAACATTAAGAAACATGGAACTTATGCAGAGTTTTTGGCTTCTGGTGATTTTAAATGAAAAATGGAGTTGGTGCTATTTTCTTTCTTCCTTCATAATATTTTTATAGGTTTGAGAGGTTTTAACTTACTTTGAGGAAAATAATTGCAAAAAAGTGACTGAAAGGCAAGAAATCCAAAACGAAATCCTAAACAAACAAAAAGCCTAGTATCTTCTTGACTCTCGTTTCTCTCAATTTCTTCAGCTAAGTTTTCCCTTATCTGCCTTGCAGGTGAAAATCCTAGAATGGCAGAGGGAAGAAATCCTCTTTCTGTAATTCCAGAAGAAGTAAGTGTTTCTATCCTTGATGGAACTGACTTATTTCCCCCAGGAACCTTTGTGTCCCTGACTCAGCCTATACTCAGCTCCTTGTGGGGTGGGTTTATCAGCCCTGACCTGCTGCATGAACTGACGCCGGGAGTGCAGACCTGTTCAGCTTTCACAGGAAAGTCTGCCCCGAGGGCTTTGCGGGAAAGGATGTTGTGGGTGGAAATTGTCAGTTTTAACCTTTCTAGACTCGATTATCTTATTTCTATTGTATGTTATTTCCTGAAATGAGCTTTTACAAGTGTGGTTTCCAGAATCATTTTAACTTGACCTTTTCCTGGATAATCACTTTCACAGGAACCTTCTGTGAGGAAGTGCCTTCAGCTGCCATGTGGTTTTGTTGTTATGGCATCCCAGCTCACAGATGAAGAAAGTGAGGTGGTTCTTTTGGGGGGAATTTATCTACCATGAAAGGGTGAAGGTGTAGCAAGTGTGAGATGAGACTTGTGGTACATGTCTCTGGTGCTTTAGGTTGTTATCTTTACCCCTGATATGGCCACGAATAATACCATTTTCTTGGGGATCTTTTCTACCAAGCTGATTTAGGAAGAATTAAAACTTATTTTTTTCATCTTGCAAAGTAGGAACATTGCTACCATTGGGGAAATATAATTAAAAGCCAAATCTTCTCCCAACCCAGAAATCCTCTCCACAAAAGTAGCGGAGAAAAAGAGTTTTATTACTGAATAAGTGTTAAACCAGAATGAGGTGATGTCATAGGCAATCCGTTAAGAGATTGCAAAGACAGAAAGAAATCTCATTCCCTTATGTAGCAAAGCAGATACAACCCATTCCATGCGTGTTTCAAGATAAACAGTAACTAGTCCTCAAGTAAGAGGACTTGACGGAACCACTTGTCACACATAGTCCATCCTAATTTCACCTGGTAATTGGGGTGACCCTCTGTGTTGGCTTATTGGCTTTATCCAGAGGAAAACAAACGTCCTGTCTTTATGACAGGACGTAGTTTTGCAAATTGAAGCAGGGCACCCACCAAAGTTAGGCTCCTACCTTCCCACAGAAACTGGGAGGCAGGGGTGCTATCTCCCTAGATATCTACCTTTCAGAGAGATGGCTACCAGGTCCTTGGAGAAGACATTTCTGGGTCCTAGAGCTGACAAAAGGCCTAGTTAGTTTTCAAAAGGATTTATATACATCTCAGAGGAGAAAGTACTTACAATGGTAAGTTTTCTAAAGTAAATGCTCTAAGAAAAAGGAAGTGCGAGAAGTTTCTTCTATTATTTTCAACAGGGAGAATTAAGCCTCTTATTTTTAATTTTTATTTGTCCTTATACCACTACTGACTCCAGTGAAAAATGCTGGCAGGCGCTGACCACAGGAGAGCTAACCACAATAACCCCCACCTGAACCGCAGGAGAGCCTCTGAGAGGAGGGCCTGTGCCTTTAAGGCTGAGGAGGTCAGAGAGAGGACATGACCGGGGTTGGCCCTTGAGCCCTCCCCTGTTCTTGAACGTATGTTCTGCCCACAGTTCCACAGTGGGAGCCATTTTCAAGGATGCGGCCTTGAGTGAGCAATGTGTTGCTGAGACCATCTGGACTGAATATGTGACTGAACCCAGGGAAGGCCTCTGCATAGACTGTTAAGATTCTGGCAGGCAGATGCAGAGATCCACTTGTCTTACGGCCGCCCAGGACAAGCCTCGTATGTAAGTTCCTTTGCTTGTTAAACCTGCTGCCTACCCATCTGGAGTGGCCTGCCGCTTTCTTCAGTCTCTCTTGGCTCTCTGTATACGGGGCCAGTTTCAGATCCCACCCAGGAAGCTCCCATGGTTTAGGACCAAAAGCATGGGGAAGAATTAACCAAGAAACTTGTTTCAACTGCAGAGTCCTGAACTCTAACCTATAGTCCCAACCCTAGACAGTATAATTTAGTCTGTTTGAAAAAGGACTCAGGAATCTGAACTTTTAGCAATATTCAAGGTGAATTTAACACAGGTGGCCCTCAGAACACACTGAAAAACCCTAGCAGAGTGGATTAAGCTGTGGAGTCAGGCCCAACTAGGTTCGGATTGTTACTAGCTGCGCAGTCTCAGGGAAGCTACTTCTCTGAGCAGCAATGTCCTTATGCACAAGGACATTTACTTGTCAGGACTGAGTGAGGATGACAAAAGGAACGTAAAATGCCCCAAACAGTGCCCAGAGTGTAGCATGTGCTCAATAATAGTATCTGCCATTCCTCTTATTATTGTGTAAGCCGTCAACCATAATTACATAAAGGTTTAGAAATGGGCCTCCAACTAAAGTTGAAAGGCCGCGTGAACTCGGAGGGAGGGAGCTGTATGATTTGACAGGTGAAACTGACCTCATGAGTGACCTCATGGACTTGTTTTTGCAAGTAAACATAAATGAACTTGAGCTAGTATAAACGTGACAAAGGAAAATGAAACATGTTTCTTATAAGGATACTGGGTGTTGTCAGGAATGTGTGCGTAGGGACGCAGCTGCTGAATCTTTGGGAGATCCAGGAGGCTGAGAACTTGGGCTGGAGGTGCCTCGTTTTGTCTCACTTGGTTTTGAGAAGCTGCTTCGGTCTCTCTCCTCTCTGTAGACTACCTCCCACCTTGGATGTGAACCTGAGGCCCGGGATGGGGTGGGGAGCCTGCCACTCTTGCCGGCAACCGTTAAGACAAGCATGAAGATAAAATCCAGGAAGCTAAGCATGGAAGAGGGAAAGCAGACAGAGCCAGGAGCCCTGGGGCATTGGTGAGCAGCCAGACTGCCCACGCTGGACCTCTGGTAACGTGAAGCCATTAAACCCCTCTCTGTTTAAGCCTCCCCAAAAGACGGCTCCTCTGCTACTCGTGGCTGAGTCCTCGCCTTACGGAAATGGGAGTCTGAGGGGGTAGAGTCACATAACAGTCATTCCCAAGTGACACTGGGACAGTTGCTCTGCTCTCCTTTGGCCACATGTTCTGGGGACATTGTGCCAGATTCTAAGCTGATGTACTCATAGTGTTTGACCAGAGTCTCCCCTCCCTCGGGGGACACATGCTGTCTGGGCTCTGTGACCGCGTCTCTGTGGTGGGGCAGTCTGCTCCTGAAGGGGGGCCCGCCTCTCCTCCCATCATGACGGAGAGGCAGCGGAGAATTCTGCCAACAGCAGTGTGCACTGCTTGTCCTTAAACTGTCCCCTGTCCAGGATCTCACCTCCCCCTGGGCTTCCCTGAGTCCTCTCCCACTTCTGGGTTCAGTAAAGAGCGATCCTTGCCCCGGGAACTGTCTTTGCCCTGCCCTGTTAATTTTTCTGTTTTATACTCTGGGGGCCCTCATGTCCAGCGGAGGCGACCCATACACGGTGTAGGAGGTGTACTGGGGAGACGGTACTAGGTTTAGGTACCCTGCTGTTCTATTTGTATCATTAGCTAAACAAATTATTTCCATCCCTCCTTGATGCTACAGGTGCCATTTCTTTCACAGACGTTGCATTTGCCTGCTCACTGATGTTCTTACCTCCTCCTTCCCCAGCCATCTTGTTTACACTATCACCAGGGTCCCTTTCTTAAGGGCTCTGGCAGAGGGCACTCAAATTCCCAGACATGGATTGGTCATGTCATGAATAGGTAGGACCATGGCCCGGGATATGTCTCCTCTGTCCTATGTTCTGTCCCAGGTAGTAAGCTGGGTCAGAGGCTTCCGTCCCGGTTCAGTGGTGGTCACCTTACTCTTTCTCTTCCTCTGAAGCTGTCATTATTGCTCAGGCCCTGCCTAGCTGGAAGAAGCTTGGATTTAAGCCTAAACCACGGGCTTTAGCCCAGTTTAATAAAAATCTCTGCAATGGAGTGAAGGGCACAAGTCCAGCCCATACTAATGAAATGGGTCATATTTTCCATTTTTCTTGTTTCATGGGCATTTAACTCCCTCAAGAATATCACAGGGAAGAGAATCCAAGATAGGGTTCAGGTATCCTGAGTCCTCTAGTCAAACAGCAGTTAATAATGCTCCAGAGCCCCTCAAAGCCCGATAACTCATTAGAAAAAGATATTTCATCTTGCCATCACCTTGATTCTCTCTGTCTAGAGAAGGGGTTACAAACTCAGGTTTGTACCCTTTGGAAACCAGGCAGTTAACATAAATGAACAAAGCAGTCTGGGAGTAATCATGTGCCCCTCATCATCTCTTATTTTCCCATCTATGGTAGAGATGTGGGTTCAGAGAAACATTTCTCTCTATTTCAAGGAAAACAAGGTCAAGCTCAATGATAAATGGCAGTTGACACTCGTCCTTAGTGTGGTAAATACAATAGAGAATGGTAGGGACTGTGGCAAACTGGAGAGTGAATGCCTTGTGTGAGTAAACCAGCTGCTACTCATATCCAGCTGGTTAAGTCAATGTGGGAATACAGGCCTACTGTTGCTAGAAGTTCTATATATATATATTTTTTAAAAAGCCAGATATCAGATTTTGGGGGGGTGTGTGTGTCGGGGGGGAATTCCTGAGTTTTAAATATTAGCTCAGTGTTTAAAAAAATGATCACTGTGTGGATCAATTAAAAATTTCTGGGAGCCACCAGGTTATGATCTTTGGCTCAGAAGATAAAGCTAAACCCACTTAGCTTGATGCATAAACTTCTTCATGATTCTACCTGCACTGCCTCTTGCCGCATTTCCTACTTCTCTTCGGACACTCCACGGCCACTCAATGCTACACTTTGTGGTTTTGCCTGGATCCCCCTGCCCCTTTCCTGACCCCATCCTTTAGCACATACTCTTCCTTGGAATGTCCTTCCCTGGCTGATTAATTTTGTAAATAATTCATTCTTAAAAATCGATACCAAAATCATCTCCTGTTTCAAGACTTTCACAACCTCCCTGTCATCTCCCAACCAGGCAGAGATATAGCGTCTCCTTTCTCTGGGCTTTTTTTTTTTTTTTTTTTAAGATTTTATTTTTCCTTTTTCTCCCCAAAGCCCCCCGGTACATAGTTGTATATTCTTCGTTGTGGGTCCTTCTAGTTGTGGCATGTGGGATGCTGCCTCAGCATGGTCTGATGAGTAGTGCCATGTCCGCGCCCAGGATTCGAACCAATGAAACACTGGGCCGCCTGCAGCGGAGCGTGCGAACTTAACCACTCGGCCACGGGGCCAGCCCCTCTCTGGGCTTTTTGAGCAAAGTACACAGTCTTCTTACAGAACTTATCACAGTCTCTTGTAATTATCTGTTGCACGCCCATCTTCTCAGCTCGCCACTGAGGCTGTGCCTGTGCGTTCCCAGCACTCAGCCTGGTGTTTGGCCCTGGCTCAGTGCTCAGCGACCGTTGTTTGAATAGATGTATAAACAAATTCACTATGCACGATGCATATGTGAAATTTAATTTTCTTGCAAGACGGCTTCACGTTTGTTTTAATAAAATATTTGTGTAACGGTGGTATTAGTTATCACTTACGTGGTGCACATATTGAATGATCTAAAGCATAACTAACCTGTCTTAGAAGTGTTTATCTGTTGCTGACCTCTCGGGTGAATACTACTCTTTTCCAACTAAAGGAGGCCATCTGAAGTGGCATCCTCACTCCTGAGCCAAAACATTAACATTTAATGCAATAGCTTCATGCTGTGTTAAGGGCTTATCTGATCAGGCAGGGATGAGAAAGGGCGGAGGGATGACATGGGGACTTGTTTTTCACACCACTCTTTTTCCAGGGCTATGGCAGGATTAACAGGGAGTTAAAACAAGGATGAATACATATGCTGTATCCATTGACAAAGCGGTAAAAAGTAGCTTGCTGTGAAATTCCATTTGCAGTTAAGTTTACTACTCTAAGTACACTCGCATCCCCTCCCTCTAGCCACCCATGTCACTTGACATATTTCTCATCTGACTGCTTGAAGATAGGAATTTTGTAAATGTCTCTCTTGGAGTTAGTTTTCAAAGAAAAGAAAAGTATGCTAAGTGCAATGGCTAAATTATAAATTTAACCAAACCTGTAATTCAAATAGGCCCCACATAATAATAGGCTGAAAGCTTGTCTGGCTGTGTTGGGTCTGGTTTGTTGTACATGGATTATGACAATGGATCCACAAAGCACCATCCTTTAAGTGCTGCTACCCATTAGCTTCATCAAGTAATTGCAGGCTTGTAGGCATCAATAACACCTTGGGAAGGAGAAGTGAATCTTTCCCCTTACAGATCTGGCAGGAAAGAAAAGTGCCTTGATGAATGCATGGCGGGCGTGTGGATGTTCAGAGCCCAGAGAAAGGAAGGAAGATGAGTGTGCAATAGACTATCTTTGACTTGCTTAAATGAACACCTTGTTTTATTTCTACTTGATCCTCTTGGCTCATCCAGCACACAGTAGGATCTCAGTGAGCTCACTGCTGGTCATCTTCAGAAAATGCTATTTCTTGAAAATGTAAATTAAAAAAAAACTGTTAATGAGAATGGGAAAGCAAATAGCAAGAAATGTCTTCCTAACTCTAGTTTAAGCAGGAAGAAAAACCACAAAGCAGTGAGAAAGTAGAGAGAAAAACCCCATCTATATGAAGCTAATTATTTTTCTCCCCAAATCAAAACTTTTGTGTTTTCGGTTGACACTCATCTTGGAAAGGGCCCAGTTTTCTCTGGTCTGAAATATTTATTAATATCTCTGGAATGAACAACATGGAAATCTTTTGCTTTAAGACAAGTTTCAGGTCAGTAAAAACAGTCAAATATATATCCAGATTAACTTTACATTAAAAAAATGTTGACTTTGAGAGATTCAATTGCCAGATACTTTTCCTCTTGGGTGAGATAATGTTGGGTGCTTTCTCAGTGTTATTAAAACATACATTTTTACTGTTAGTTCAGAATTTACTGAGGGACCCACAAGAGTTTGAGTTGTCTTAAAATTAGGTTAGGCTGGTTTGGAGGGGGCTCATTTTGGGGAAAGGAGGTCATACTTAAAGCCGTTCTTAGTAATTCTTCTTGTCTTTACCTCCACATCTCATTCGTCAAGGTCGTGAAGGGTTATTGACATTGGATGCATATGAGAACTACCTGGGGAGCTTGAAAATGTACTGGTGCCCAGGCTTCCTCCAAATATTCAAATTTAATTTCTTGCTGTGGGGAGAATGGAAGGGGCATTTGTAGGTATGTGTGTGTGAGTGAGGGTTTCAACATTCCCCCAAATGATTCCAATGTGTGTTCAGAGTTGAGAACCACTGGAATTATGAAGAAAGGGGTGACTTGCTGTTATGGGTTGAATTATGTTCCTCAAAAAGATGTGTTGGAGTCCTAATCCCTAGTATTTGTGAATGTGATCTCATTTGGAAATAGGTTTTTGCGGATGTAATTAGTTAAGTTAAAATGAGGTCACACTGGATAATAGTGGGCCCTAAATCCAGTATAACTGGTATCCTGATAAGAAGAGGCGTGACACAGAGAGACACAGAAACAGAGGGAAGATGGCCGTGTGAAGAGAGAGGCAGAGATTGGAGTTTTGCTGCCTCGAACCAAGAAACACCAAGGATTGCTGGTCCCCATAAGAAGCTAGAAGAAACAACGAAGGATTATTGCCTAGAGCCTTCAGCAGGAACATGATCCTGCTGACACCTTGATTTTGAACTTCTGGCCTCCAGAACTCAGAGAGAATACATTTCTGTTGTTCTAAGCTACCCAGTTTGTGGTAATTTGTTACAGCAGCCCTAAGAAATGAATATACCTGCTGTTCCCCATCATTTAGAAGTAGCTATGAACTCACAGGAGAGATACTAAAAGGAAATCCCTCTTAGTAAGATTTGTTAGATCTTAGAAGAGTTTCAGGAAGAGATTTTGGACTGTTGGCTGTTAAAGTAGTGTCATCAACCATACCAGTTTCCCCAGGACTGAGGGAGTTTTGGGGATGAGCAACTTTCAGGGATTGTCCCAGGCAATCCAGGACAAATTGTTCACCCCAAACAGGATGGATGCTTGTCAAATCAGATTGTCAGAGTCCTGGATAACAGTAGCAAAACTGATGTGGTTCCCTAAATTCGTACAGAACTTAATTCAAAGCAAATAAAAACACACTGTTCTGAATTACTCTAGCTTTGGTGTTTTATTTCTAAGATTGAACTTGTATGTTCAAGGCCAGTGTGTTTTTTTTTGAGACTTTTGAAACAAGAAGATCAGCAAGTAGCCAGATATCTTTCACCAAATGAACCTGTCAAAGGTGAGCAGTCCTTCTATTTCCAGTCTATAATGGAAATCAGGAATCAGATATGGATTCAGGAGAAGCCTGATGATCTGAGTTGCCCGGCTGAACTCCTTCCAAGAAACACAGTCATCTCAGAGAAGGCAGGATTTCTGTTTCATAAATGAGAAGTGTTGGAAGCCAGGACTCCGGGTGAGTGAGAACACCTCTCAGGAAATCATGGAGATGAGTCACTTCCTCTCAGGTCTCAGCCAAGAGTCACTTTTATGCCTTTTAGGTAAAATCGCCTTATGATGAAATCCTTAGGTCACAGGAGCCAGACCACTTTGGCTGAGCTCTAAGATCCACTCTCCCATGGTCAACTTGGTTATAGGGTGAGTCGTGCTGTACTTGAGTTTCCTAGTGTCTGTCAGTCATGACAATACTTGTACGAATGTGCTAAGTTTGAACTCTGATTCTTGAAAGAAAACAAATATCACTGAGGTTTCTGTGGAAGAAAGGATGCTACTTTCAAATAATAGGCCATTCATTCTCTTTGATGGAAGGCACAAACTTTTTTTAGTTAGAAAGTGTTTTCTAATAGCAAGTGACCTATGCGTTCAGGAAGAAATTCTAATTAAATATCTAGTCCAACTGGGTTATTGCCAAAAGGTAAAAGGTTTGCTCTCAAGGACACTCAAATTTCAAGTACTGCATTGGAGGAAATAGTGGTTCTATGTTGCATATGCAGGAGTAACTGTGGAGGCCAGAATAGGACAAAAGCCATCCTATTTTTAAAAATTTTTAATTAAAAAGATTTTTACATTAAAAAAATTTAAATATGTTTACCATATAACATTGTGTAAATTTAAGGTATATGACATGTTAATTTGATACTTTTATACATTGTAATATGATTGCCATTGTAGTGATAATTAGTGCTTCTTTCATGTTACATAATTATTCTTTCTTTTCAGTGACGGGAATTATTAAGTTCTAGTCTCTTAGCAGGTTTGATGATTATAATACAATATTGTCTGTGTTCACTGTGCATTAGATCCCTAGGTCTTATTTACTAGTTGTTGCAAGTTTGTACCCTTAAACAACATCTTTCTTGTCCCCCCATCCCCTAGTGACCACCATTTACTTTCTGTTTTTATGAGTTTGTTTTTTTCAGATTGCACACATAAGTGATGTCATACTGTACTTGTCTCTGTCTGTCTCACTTATCTCACTTAGCATAATGTGCTCAAGGTCCATCCACATTGTCCCAATTAGCAGGATATCCTTCTTTCTCATGGCTGAGTAATATTCTATTCTCTCTCTATATATGCACCACATCTTCTTTATCCATTCATCCATTGATGGGCAATTAGATTGCTTCCAGATTTTGGCTATTGCGAATATGCTGCAACAAACACGAAAGGGCATATATTTCTTCGATATCCTGTTTTCACTTCACTTGGGCATATACCCAGAAGTAGAACTGCTGGATCAGGGGCTGGCCCAGTGGCACAGTGGTTAATTGTACGCATTCTGGTTCGGCAGCCCGGAGTTCGCTGGTGCCGATCCTGGGTGTGGACATGGCATTGCTTGGTAAGCCATGCTGTGGTGGGCATCCCACATATAAAGCAGAGGAAGATGGGCACGGATGTTAGCTCAGGGCCAGCCTTCCTTAGCAAAAAGAGGATTGGCAGCAGATGTTAGCTCAGGACTAATCTTCCTCAACAAAAACAAAAACAAAAACAAAGAATTGGTGGATCATATGGTAGTTGTATTTTTAATTTTTTGAGGAAACTCCATGTTTTCCATATTGGTTGAACTAGTTTACATTGCCATCAACAGTGCACAATGGTTCTCTTTACTCTACATCCTTGCCAACACTTGCTATCTCTTGTCTTCTTGATGATAGCCATTCTAAAGGTGTGAGGTGATATCTCATTATGATTTTGATTTGCATTTCCATGATGATTAGTGATGTTGAGCATCTTTTCGTGTACCTGTTGGCCATTTGTATGTCTTCTTTGGAAAAATGTCTACTTAGTTCCTCTGCCCATTTTTTAATCAGATTGGTTTTTACTTTTGTTATTGAATTGTTTGAATTCTTTATGTATTTTTGATATTAACCCCTTATACAATATATGGTTTGCAAAAGTTTTCTCCCATTCTGTTGGCTGCCTTTTCATTTATTAACTGCTTCTTTTGCTGTGCAGAAGTTTTTAAGTTTGATGTGGTCCCATTTATTGATTTTTACTTTTGTTGTTTGTGCTTTGGTGTTATATCCAAAAGATCATTGCCAAGACCAATGTCAAGGAGCTTTTGCCCTACCTTTTCTTCTAGGAGTTTTATGGTATCAAGTCTTATATCTAAGTCTTTGATCCATTTCTAGTTAATTTTTGTAAGTGGGTTAAGTTAGGGGTCCAATTTCATTGTTTTGTGTGTGTTTATCGAGTTTTCCCAACACCACTTGTTGAAGAGACCATCGTTTCCCCATTGGGTGTTCTTGGCTCCCTTGATGAAGCTTAGTTGATGGTGTATGTGGAGGTTTAATTCCAAGCTCTCTCTGTGTCTATTTTTGTGCTAGTACCATACTGTTTTTATTACTATAGCTTTGTAGTATGGTTTGAAATCAGGAAATGTGATACCTCTGGTTTCATTCTTTTTCCTTAGGATTGCTTTAGCTATTCAAGGTCTTTTGTGGTTCCATACAAATTTTAGGAAAATCCACCCTGTTTTTAATGTTCCATATTTCTTTTTTGTTGTTGTTGTTCAGAATGGACACTCATTTGATAATATCCTATTGAAGAACTATCACAGAGCATTTCACAGACTCTGTAAAAGCTCATATTTTTGACTAAAAGTACTAAATTTCTTTAGGACCGAGAGCAGGCATTCTTGAGGACCAATATTTGTCTTTATTTTCTGTGTGACTTTTCTGTACTTGGTCATCTTTCCCTTCTCAAATAGAAGAATGATAAGATTGGCTCAGCTTCTGAGGAATATTCTGAAGATTGACTAATAGCTGTAGAGCACTTTTCAATTAAAAAAACAAAAAGCATTATGAATGCAGAATACTACTATTAACTGGCAGCATATAACTTCAAGGCACCAAGCCATAATTACCCCATTAAATAAATGAGACCACTCATCACGCCTTTGAGCTGGGCTGGAAGCTGCATTGATAGTCACAGTTTTGTCGGTTGTTCTCTTTTGTAAAATGTGAGTCCAGGTTATGAATCTCTTCCTCACATGACAGAGAAATCTCTTAGTTCTTTTTGGCCCCAGTGCTTTTGGCCACAGTGGCAAGTAGGGGTATACTGACTTCCAGCCTCAGTAGGCAGCATTCATTACTCTACACACCTTCATCAATGGTCCACTGACCTGTTTTTAAGAAAGGATAATTGATGCTATGTCAAAAGGCTACAGAATGTTCTTCAAAGCCTTTCCTTTTTCTGGGCAGGGGATGTGATGGGGATAGTATTTATATCTCTGATTTTCTGATTTCTATGTCATAGCCAGAGCTGCCAAAGTTCCTGAGTTTTAGATTCTGTTTGATCTTGGCTTTGTGCAATGCAAAAATCCCCTCTGTATTTAAAACCCACTGCCACAAAGTCATAAATAAGTCTGAGGCAGATAATCCTCCCCTAGCACACAACTTAATAAATAAGCCATGCAACTCTGCATACTCATACTGATTTTTCCTAAGAAATCCATTCTATTCAGTCTTTTAATTTCCCCAGTGTTCACAGCCATGCTGACATTTTCAAGAGATAAGCCCACACACTTTTTCCTTAGGAAAAAAAAAAAGGTTCGACTAAAGCAAAATGTGTTCTGTGGTAAATCACTATTTTCAAGCAGTGCCTTTTGTTTCCTTGTTTTTTAGATTATCAAAGGGATGAATCTCTATCCTGTGAAGAGCATAGCTGCTGATCATCCCAAAACTGGAGCCATCTTAATGTGAACAACAGCTTTCCTCCCCGTAATGCCCGTGCCAGCCATTGAGCCACCCAGGAGGATCTGGGGAGCCCCAAGTCTCCAAAGCAGAAACAAAAGGGAAGACTTGTCCGAGATTACCTTAGTAATAAGCAGCTAATTATAATATTAATTTGCATAATACCCTCCCTTTTAGCAGTGATTTCACTGCGAAAACCAAGTGGTATTAATGAAAAAAAAATTGTTTCCAGCTGCCTAAGCCCAGAGGCTAATCCAGGAATTGATGCCCTTGCAACAATGACCATAAGATCTCCTTGTGGGCAGAGCCTCTGAAGGCCTGTTTGGGCAGCTAACCCTTCTTTTGAGCGCTCTTTTTTACCTTCAGTGGTTGAGACTGAGGTCTTAAAACTGCTCCTGCCAATGACAACCAAAGTTACCTGCCAGAGCAGAAAGAAACAAAAGAAAAGGAAAATCTTAAATTATGCGTTCCCTTCTTTAGAATGGGCCTGTGGTTGGGGGCTGGCATATGGGCATCAGTGGATGAAACTGGAGAAGGTGGAAGTGTTCATGTGAAAAAAAATGGTTCAACAATTTCTTATAAAGTTAAACCCTATGACTCAGCAAATCTACTCCTGGGTATGTACCTATGAGAAATGAAGCATATGTTCACCAAAAGACTTGTAAAAGAATGTTTGGAGCACTTTATTTTTCATAGCCTCAAACTGAAAACAAACCGAATGTCCATTACCAGGAGGGTGGAAGAACATACTGTGGAATATTTACGTAATAAACTAATAAAATACAGACATACACAACTTGGATGAGCTTTGAAAACATTATATTGAGTGAAAGAATTCAGATGCAAAATAATTCATACTGTATGATTCCATTTGCGTGAAGCTCCAGAACATTCAAGGCTAATCTATGGTCATAGAAATTAGAACAGTGGTTGCCTCTCGGCAGTGGTGGTAGGATTGACTGGAAGGGGCATGAGGGAAATTTCTGTGGTGCTGGAAAATTTTATATATCTTGACCAGTGTTATGGTTACATGGATATATACGTTTGTTGAAACTCAGCAAATAGACACTTAAAGCCTATGCATTTTATTGTATGTAAATTATCTCAAATTGGAAAGAGAAAAAAATTAAAATTTTTATATTGTTCATGTTCCTAACTGATTAATGTGGCAGCAGTTGGCTCATTAGCAGATTGTTGCAGTGTGGAAAAATTTTGTTCTCAACCCAATGGTTTGTTTAACTGTGCTCACTGGCAACTCTTAATCCATCAAAAGGATTTTAAGATCCTAATAATTAGTTTTAGCACTGCAAGAGGACAGACAGACACAATTCACCTTTTTGCCAGGATTGACAGATGCTATTTTGATAAGCACAGGAACCATCAGTTCAACTAACCAGCCGTTAGACCAAAGTTGAGTTTAGGTGAGTGGAACCTTCTAATTTGTTGAGAGTTGACAGGCTGACAGTAATACACAAACTTTTTCTTGACTCTTCTTCTGTACTATTTCTACATCTAAAATGATGGCAGACTTAAATGTGTCTCCACTACACTGTGTGTTTTGCTTCTGCAAGTCACGTCTGGTAGGAACTACCCAGGGCGTTTGGTCCCACCTTGAGCAGATATGGTCAGCTAGTCATCCTCTTAGAGGCATGAGAATTAAGGAAATCCAGGAATACAAAAGTAGAGGTGTCAGCAAGCTCCAGCTGTGTTTAAATTCCAGGTTTGTGAGTCTGTGAGTCTCTGGAACCTAAGAGGAGACCTGAAGATACACACTTATTCTGTGGACATGACTGTAACACGAGAGTGGTTTCTCTTTAACACTTAAAAATGTTTCCATTTCCTTATTTAATATTTGGCTACATTTGTCACAGAAATAAAGTTATATATTTGGAAACTGTATTGGGCTCTGTAAGATTTGCTAGGTTATTTTCTTTTCTGTTTATTTCATAAAACCATTCATTAGTCTGTTCAGGAGTTCCATTTGGAATTGCAGGTGTGAGTTGAAAGCCAGACATAAACTAAATTACAGCATATACAAAATGGATGCCTTACAAGTGGAAAATGCATATTTTCAGCTGACCTGCTCTTCAAGTAACAATATGTGAGAGCAAAATATTTAGTGTAGACTATGTAATAGCCATCTTCTTATTTTTATAAAGCTCCAAAATTGTAATCAAAGAGCATGGATGAGTTTGAGTAGCAGAGAAAGAGGAAAGGAAGGAAAATTTGATCTAGAAGGCAGTTCATTGAGAAATAGGTGGGAAGCTTGTGGCATCTCAGATGAGCTGTCCTTGCTGGGGTAGATGGGAGGGTGGGGAGGGAGGAAGTGAAGACATAGGAGGTGACACTAACCGGAACACACAGAAGAGCAGTGGATGGGGCGGGCAGAGGCCAGGCTGCAGCCTCAGAAACACAGCAGTGTCCTCATATTTATGAAACAGAACCATGGTGGTGATTGGGTGTGCAACCAACTCGCAATTTTGGGTCATTCAGTATTTTTAAACAATAATAACTTTAGCAGTAATTCTAGGAGACTAGAGGAATTAAAATTAGGAAAGCTATACTTTAAAACATTTGAATAAGTCACTCGTAAAATTTAAAAGCAATTGAAAACATGACATCTATACTCTAATTCACAATAGAGTTAAAAGGGAGTTTACCATTTTCCTGAGTGCAACTGGTTTGTGTTTGGTTTGCACACTGACACTTGTTTTTATTACGAGACCCGGTAAGAAATAATGAAATACCTGTTAGGAATTTTAACACTGTGAAAGCAAGGTAGATAACACAATTTAGTGAATTCAACAGATTAAAAAATGCGTAGTTTAGTTTATCAAGGTGCAAGTTGTCCAAGACTAACTCAGCATTCAACATTGTAACCAGTAGGTAGGTGGGGAATGAGTTTGAGTGTGTGTGTGTTTGTGTGTGTGTGTGTTAAACATTTTTTTAAGCATAATATTTAATGTGGTGGGAACGATTTACCAGACCTTTACAGAACAGATAGTTCCTATCTTACTAAAAAAAATTCCTTTGAAAATAAATTTAAAAAGATAATTTATACACAGGAAAATGCACTAATGTGAATTATATAGTTTGATGAACTTTTTGTATATGTAAACACTTATATATTCACCACCCCAGAGAGTTTCCTCATATACCTTTATTGTTAAAACCTCTTTCCAGTCCAGTCCAAAGTTATCACTATTTTGATTTCTATCACCGTAGGTTAATTTTGCCTTTACTTGAACTTCATAACAATGGAATCACTCAGTTTGCACCGTTTTGAGTCTGATTTTTCCTCAATTTGATGCTGTCAAGATTCACTCATTGCTGCGAGTATCAGTGATGTTCTTTTTTATTGCTGTGTGTTAATTCATTCTTTTGAAATTTATGTATCCATTCTCGTGCTGAAATGCTGGGCTGTCTTCAGTTTGGGGCTTTGAGGAATGGCGCTGTCATGAGCACAGTGGTACAAGTCTTTTGGGGACATATGCACCTGGTGCCCAGTTCTGCCCCTGGGAGGGGGATTCAGTAGTTCTTGAGCCTTTTTCCAAGCCTCCCCCACTCCTGACGCCCCCTTCCTCCTGTGCTTCTGCTTAACTTCCACCCAAGATGGCGGGTGCCAAACACAGAATACAATTCAGGAAACCAAATTATAATCCTGAAAATGAAAAGTCCGTAAAGTTTGATTCTGCTATCTGAGAAGCTTTATTTGATTTTAACGACCATTAGTGGATAGCTGTTTGGCCAGTTGTCCTGAGGTGGAATTCAGTTTGTCCTTTGCCCTGTGTTGCAGAGCCCTCCCCTGGGATCTGAAGGTTCAATCTGCTGTCAGCAGGAAGGGGGACTTTCCCTTCCTGCTGGGAATGGCAGTGCCCTGAGAGGAACACCTCGTTCGTCTTCTTCCTCCTGCACGATCTCAGATGACTCTTCTGGCTGTTGTAATAGCCACTGACACCCCTTACTGAGGTAGCTATGGACTTGGGTAGCTTATGTTCCCCTTGAGGCTGCAAACAGCTTTGTGTCATATTTATTTTCTCAAGAAGCGGCCTCCTAAGATGTCAATCCTCAAGGCCCTTGTTTCCTGTCATGTGGGTAAAACTTCAGGCTTTATCTTTGGAACCCTTCTAGGGTATTTTCTAATGCTGTGGCTCTGTGGTCACCAAAACTTCTGCCAGGCCTGGCTAGCCAGCGCTCAGCAAAGTGCAGGGCAGCCAAATGCTTGTCACCCCCAAATCAAGCCTGTTCTGTGAGGAACTCAGTGAGCACAGCACCTGGAGATACTTTCCAGTTGCCCTCACCTTTGGTAAACCCCAGATCTTTAAGTAACTTATTTATTTTCCCTCCTCAAACAACTACTTTGTGTCCCTCAGAATATATTTCATTGTCACCTGTACCTTTTGGGTTGTGGAAAACAATCGTCTGCCTCAATTAAGGAAATAAACTGAACTTTATAGGTTTTTCTAATTTTCTTTTATCTACTCCATATTCCGAGGGATTACAATTTTTCATTTTGATGAAACATTAAAATTTCTAAGATATTTTTCCTTCCAAGTACGATCTTCAAATAAATTCATGTATCCTATTTCCTCCTGTCCAGATGCACACATTCAAAACTGCAATGGCATTCCTCTTAGAGATAAAATAGAAAGTTCTCACAGGTAAAGTGGTTCTATCATATGAAGTGATCTTTTTCAATCAATTGAATCAGCCACCACAGCTTGAGGCTGGACCCTGGTAAAAATGTAAAGTGGCTGGCGTCTACTGCTTTTTGATTTAATGTGTATTTTTCCCTCTTGGAAAGGTAATTCATACCACAAAAAGATCTGATGCTTCTTAACATTAAGCTGCAAATGACTGTGAACTTTAACATACGGTCTTCATGGAGCATTTTGCATTTTAACATCTATCATACCAGAAGATCAGTAGCAGGATGTTCGTTACCAGCTAACACTTTTCTTAGGGCAATGAGAGCTCTATTCCCCAGCGTGCATAGCTATTAGAGCCGTGAGCCCTTTTGAGGTAGGCCTGCTTGGTTAGGATGCCACCGGATGTTCCAGGTGTTCTGGATTTTGAAGACTCTGAGGCAAGTATTCTATTAGTGCCCTTGGGGGAAGAGTCTATTTTGAGAGTCAGTTGTTTTCCTTGATATTCATTGTTCATCTCTTGTAGGTGACTGGAAGATGAAATATTTTTCCAGGCACAGAAGAAAATCCAGTTCTGAGCCTCTAATAGACCCCAGTACAGATAAATGAGAAGTGAGAGTGGGAGTCTTGCCAGACTTGGGTTTCAATCCTTGCTCCTTAGTAGGGGGAGCTGACAGTTGCAATGGATGGTAGCAGCACGAGGCAATATCAGAGGAGCCAATTCTGGTTTCATTTTGGGCTTCATTGCTCACCTCAATTCTGTGCTGCCAGAGTGAGGTGTCTCAATTTCCCTCCCACACGGGGATTACATTCTTTTTGTTATTTCTACAGAATCTATCCCTTCAAGGAGCTTGACGTCGCTCGTTTCATGTCTCAGATGAGTGCAATAGGAAAGTCATTAGTATCTCTAATGTGCAGATGGGGAAACCAAGATGTTCTATTTTGGGGTCCAGTATGTTTCCCTTCACTGTGTGTTCTTTCTCAAATTAGGGTACAAAATTGTTTATTATTATTGCTATTAGTGGTTAACATTGTATAGTACTTTAAACTTTCCAAATTATTTCCATATTGATTGTCTTCATTCCTCAAGACGGAGGAAGAGCAGAGTTGATATCCAGACCAACATAACGCAGATCACATGGCAGGGTCATACTCAAGCATGGGACTCCTCTCTTGGCACCTGCCTCTGCCCTGTAGACCAGCATGTCTTATTTGTTGCAATCTAGGCCTTGTGAAAGTTCTTTGTGAGTTTGCATAAGGATCATAATATCAGAAGATGCTATCTGGGTGTTGAAGAAAATAAAACAAGGAAAGGAGAGAGAGAGAGGTTGATTGTTTCAAGAGGCAGCTGAGTATAACGAAATGAACACTGGGTTGGGGTTAAATATTAGCAATAAGAGCTGTTGTATAGTGGGTGGTTTCTGTGTGCTAGGCATAGTGTGAAGCTCGTGTAGGCTCTTTCCATTAATCTTAACAACAACCCTATGATGAAAATTTTGTCATCATCCCTGTTGTAGAGATGAGGAACTAAGGCTTAGAGAAGTTAAAGAAGTTGCCCAACGTTACACAGTTAATAAGGGCTGGAGACAGGATTAAAAGCCCAAGTTCTTTTTTTTTTATTGAGGTAGCATTGGTTTATAACAGTATATAAATTTCAGATGTACATCACTGTATTTCAACTTCTGTATAGACTACATTGTGTTCACCACCAAAAGTCTAGTTTCATCCATCACTGTACAAATGTGCCCCTTTACCCTTTTTGCCCTCCTCCATCCCCTTTCCTCTCTGATAACCACCAATCTGTTCTCTGTATCTACGTGGCTTTTTTCTACATATGAGTGAAATCATAAGGTATTTTTCTATCTCTCTTTGACTTATTTCACTTAGCATAATACCCTCAAGGTCCATCCCTGTTGTCGCAAATGGCACAATTTCATCTTTCTCATGACTGTGTAATATTCCACTGTGTGTGTATATACATCTTCTTTATCCATTCATCCGTTGATGTAAAGCCCAAGTTCTTCACCATAATGCTCTACTGCTTCTCGTTATTTGAATCCTGTAACAAAGTTGCTTGGTCTTGGTCCATGTTTACCAAGCAGAGACAAAGCTAGCTAGATTTTATGAATATAATTTCCTTGGGGCACTTATGTTTATCGTTATAAATTAATAAATTACTCTTATGATTTACTTTAAAAAATGACAGCTAGTCTTTATTGAGTGCTTACTATGTGCTGGGCTTTGTTTCAAGCATTTTGCACGCATTAGCTTATTTAATCATCACAACAATCTTTGAGAATGTTACTACTAATATCTCCATTTTACCAAGAAGGTAAAATAGCCCTGAGAGGTTCAGTACTTGGCCCAAGTTTGCACAGTCAGCAAGTGATGGAGTTGGAGTCTGAATCCAGGCAGTTTGGCCTTGGTATCTAAGCTCATAACCACTCTTCTGTACTGGCTCCAAGCGAGTGGGTCTTACGAGCCTGGGTCATGTAAGTCCTTCCTAGGAAACAGTCTATTCGTGGTGTGATGGTGCATTTGGCAGTTGAGCCTGCAAGTCTAGGAAATAAATCTTGGACCAGGAAATATTCATTAAGCTAAATGATGTTACCCTGTGAGGCTTCTGAGGAGACAGGCTGCTGGTTTCCCTGGAGATAACCCTGGGCCCACAGTTCCATGTTTTAAAACACTTCACA